TGGCTATGATCCCAACCCTTTCCCCCAGCTGCCAACTATTTGTGGTTTCCTAGTTTTTGCATGAAATTTTCTTCATTTTAAAAGGGTGGTATTTTTTGGCTTTACTCGTACTGCCTTTGGCCCCTCCCACAACTGAAATGCAATATTCTAGAATTAGACACTAACAAAATGAGATTATGAGCAACTCCCAAAGGATCTTTCCAAACTGGGAGAATGGGCATTAAAATGGCAAATACAGTTCCAGTCAAGCAAATGTAAATTGATTCCCTTTCGGGGCAAAAAATCCCAAGTTTGGTTATAAGCTGATGGGATCTGAGTTAACACTGATCAATCAAGAAAGAGCTCTTGCAGTTGCAATGGACGCATAATGTAGAAAATATTGATCAAGTGTGCTGCTGCTATGAAAAAGGGAAATTCCATTTTAGACATAACTAGGAAGGAATTTGAAAATAAAACTGCCAAGATCATGTTGTCTTTATACAGATTCATTGTGCAACTGTGTACAATTCTGGTCACCACACCTAAAAAAAGATAAAAAATTGAAAAGGGTAGAAAAGGGCAACTAAAATGATTAAGGGTCTTGAGGAACTCTTCTATGAGAAAAAAAAACAGCTGGGATAATTTTGCTTAGAAAAAATATGAGTAAGGGAAGACATGGTAGAGGTGCGCATAATTATGCATGGTGTGGAGAAAATGGATATGGAGACATTTTAATTAGAATCCAGAGTCATCCAATGAAACTTATAGGTAGATTTATTCATTCATTTGCTTGTTGATCTTATATACCACATTCAATAGTCCTACAGGACTCTCTGAGATTAAGGTCAGATAAATGAAAATATTTCTTCCCACACCACATAGTTAAACTAAGAAATTCAAATCCACAAGATGTTGTAGCCATCAATTTGGACAGTTTTAAAAGGGTTTCAAAGGGAATAAGATACATTCATGGAAGATAAGGTCGTCAGAAGTTACTAATTCTGCTATCCATATGCTACCTCCAGTTTCAGTAGCAATTTGTTTATGAAAGGAAGGTACTGTTGCACTCATGGCCTGTTTGTGGGCTTCCTGTGGGCAGCTGGTTGGCCACCATGGAAAACAGAAATCTGAGCTGGATGGACACTAGATCTAATCTAGCAAAGTTCTTCTCCTATTCATCAAAGCAGAATTCAACATCTCTGCTATACCCACATACCTGGGCTCATTAAACTCAGTGGAGCTTACTTATGAGTGGTTATGTATAAAAATGTACAGTAAAGGCACAATCTACTACAAGTTTAGATAGAAAAAAAGCCCTACAATATTTTTGTCACTGGGTTGACTTCAGCCTACCATGGCACTGCAAGTGAAATTACAAAACTTCACCAGTGAATCCCTATCTTGGCTTTGAGGCAAAGCAGGAGGGCGTTTGCTTCCCCCTCCATGGCAAAAGTACATACAGCTACAACCTATTTCTCCTCTCACTGCAGAGCCAAATGGACGCATACTGTGTCCTGTGTCCTCTGCCACAGGCCAGGGGACCTAAAGCTGCTTAGAGGTTGTACCCTCTGCATCTTAGGAAAAATAACATTGCAAGTGGAAGGTCAGTCTGACCCCATCCACTTGCCTGCAAAGGAATAGCTGCTGCAAAGCTTGCTTTCCTCTTTCTTTTCCATTTCCTTTACCACTGGAATGTATCTAGTAGATTGTAAACCACAGGCACTTCCTTACTATTCCATTTTATCTTTATCCCATCCTATTTTATTTGAGTCTTAGATGTAGGTACTTTAGAAGTAAAATAAAAGAACTTACTTTACATGCATATTGATAAATGTTAAATGCAAATTTTATTTATATGTAAAGCAATTTATTAGGTTTTATAATATTAGAGATTTCATAAATAAATAAGGAGAACTGGATCCAGAATGAGGCATATATAAATGCACTGGTGGAAGGAGATTCCCCTTGTCACACACAGCAGCCCTTCTAGCCCCTTGAAAACTGTACAGAAAGTTGGGGGTATATGCTGAATGAGGGGAAAAGATAGAATCCCTCAGATTTGGGCAGAGGCACCTTCCCTGAATGGAGCTCCACTCAAGGATAATGCCTCTTCGTGATTGGGGTGTGCGAGACCGCCCCTTCCTTGCTGCAACACAGTTCACCTGGTTCAGTATGGTCTCCCTGCATTTGCAGGGTTGGGAATGTGGAGGGTTTCTGCAGGAAACGGACGGCAAGGAAGTCTGCTATATTTGGATCTGCCACAAAATGATTAGGTTGCCAACAACCAACCATCATAGAATCATAGAATAGTAGAGTTGCAGGACAGCATGAAGGCCATCGGGTCCAACCCCCTGCTGTTCTACTAGTAAATCTACCTAGTGACAAGCACTGGAGTCAAAATCCAGTAGAAGTCAGGCACTGCCATACTCCATCCCTCCTCCCGCAGCTTCTAGTTTGATTCTGCACTTAGTTCTATTTATTTAGGGTGCAATTCTATGCACCTTCAGATAGAAAATATAGTCCTACAGTTCCAGGGGTGTTCCATTCAGTATGGATGGCTGAAGGAACGCTAGGAGTTGTAAGGGTTGTTTCTGTCTAAACAAGCCCTTATTATATTTTTAATCCATCTCATACTAGATGTTCAGTAGGTTGATTACAAAAGCTAAAAGAATAAATATAAGACCAGAAAAGCTCAAATATAATACAAATCAAAACAACAAACAACACACGGCAAATAAAACTATGTAACAAAAACACCACAGAATTTGTAGAATGTGCTCTACAGTGATTGGCAGAAAAGAAAGACGTTCACCTGGAATTGTAAAGATAATAATGCAGGCATCACATAAACCTCCTTACCAAGGGATTTCTATAAATGGGATGCCAGAAGTGAGAAGGCTCTCCCTTATTCAGTCACCCACCTACTGTTGATTCTGGACAGGTACATATAGGAGATTTTCCTCCAAAGCTGGCTTCGGTAACCCGTGGCCCTCAGTGGTTTTGAGGGCTAGAACTCCCACCAGCCCTAGGCAGCACAAGCAGTGATGAAGGATGATAATATCTGTAGACCAGACCTTATGGAGGCCCACTCCTAAAATGATGATACTCTGATCCTAAGCAGTTTAGGGCTTTAAAGGGTAGCTGCAAGATTCCCCCCCCCCCCCGTTTTTCACATGTTACTTTATTTACAGGGTATCCATTAGTGCAAGATTCCCAGGGTGATACGCAACTGAAAATAAAATAAAAGCTCACTTAACCCTTGCCTTGCCTGTTCCCTTCTGCCTTGGCCAGGGTACAAAGCAGATTTTCAAATCCATGTCAAGTCGCCTTTTGCCTCTCCACTCATGCACATTTTGTAGAGTCCACAAGTATACTAACCTGGAATTTGAAATCTCATTTATTTTGTTTCCAGTGGAGGAGTGCTGAAACTCTTTTGGCACAGGGAGGGTTTGGGGGAGGGGTGCATTCCACTGGTGGGTGGGGCTGAAGGCAAAATGGGTGGAGCTAAATTGCAAAGAATAACATCCTATTTTAGCTTTAAGTTTTTCCTGCCAGTCACAAAGCCTTGGGAAAGGCATTTCAACATTCTTCAAAAATCTTTTCATTAGTCACAGTATGGTAAAAATAACTACAACAACAAATTGTATCATGAAACATATCAATATACACTAATATACTGCAATCATTCTCTCTTGATGTAGGGAGAAGGGGGAAAAACACAAGCTTTGAAAAAGAATTAACATTTCTATCTTGAATATATACATCAATATAAGCCACCTCATTTAAATCTTTCTGAAGGGGAAGGGACTACTGCACCAAAGCTAGGAAAACACCAGAGGATCAGCAAGCAGGAAAAAGGCAGTGACGCCAAGAGTGGTTTTTATGAGAGTCAGACCAGAAGAAGGATCTAATAAGGGCAAAAAAGAGAGCAAACAATCCTTTTCATATGTGTGAGTTCTTATTTTATTTCAAATCCATACCAAGGCAACATCTTGATTAGGATCAACCAAACTGTCAGAGACAAGTGGGTACACTTTCGAATTTGCCAGAAGACTTGTTTTTGCAATAAGCAGTTTTTACAGGACTGGCGCTAGGTACCGAAAATGCATAGAATTATTTATGCCAATGTACTTATCCTAATTTACACATTATTTTTAATTATTTCATTTCTATACTGTCTATAGCTGGCTCTCTGGGCAGTTTACAACAATCCATAAAACATGATAATAAAATGCAATAAAAATATAATAAAAATGGCTGAAAATAAACAACAAAGAATGACTGTGTAAAAACACCTGGGATGGGTAATCCTCTGGAGCCCCTGGCTGTCCATGTATGTCTTTAAAGGCTTGAAAGGTCATCTTACCCTGATTCAAAAGGGATGACAAATTTGGCAGCAGGCGGGATGGAATGGGGAAATTGTTCTATAAATGGTGGGACCACCCTATAAATTCTAACGTTTGTGTGTCGAGGACACCCCTTTCTGTAAAAAGGGATATATGGGCAGGAGAGAGAAGAGCGTTTGATTTCAGGAGAAAACCTCAGATAAAAAGTTTTAGGGGGGGGCAGCAGGAGGTGGGCAAAGTGCCAGCTATTCCAGTGGGACCAGATGCAGCAGACATTATCAGAGCCCTTGTACCTTTCAGCAAGTGCGCCGGGCAGCAGAATGCTGCAGCAGAAGGCCTCCCACACATTCGGGGCTCCAAATGGAAGATCTGGGGCTTCGGCCCCAACGAGCCACCCCCTTACACCCCTTTTGCCTGAGGACGACTCGGTCACAAACTGCAAGATTCGGACTAGAAACAAAATACACTCCTCGGGAGAGGGGGAGAGTCTCTTTAACCTCCGCCGGCAGAGAAGGGCCGCTCAAAATCTGCCTGTGAAGCGGACTGATCCCAACAACAACTCCACGCTATTCCCGGAGAGGCCGCCGGTTATGTCATCCACTCGTGGCTCCTCCCTTTTTCCCCCGGGCGGGAGGGATGCCGCGCACGGGGAGGGGGACGACGCGCCATCACGGCGCCTGCGCAGAAGCGTCTCTTGCGTTCGTCTGCCCAATCTCGCCGCTCTTCCACATAGCCCCCCTCCTATCCCTCATCGGAACCCTTCAGGGCCGCGGCAAGCATAAGCCAGAGCCCCGGACGGAGGAGCGGGCAGGCAACGCGTAACGGGACGGAGCGGCTCCGAAGCCATCCACTCGCCCCGGCGAGAGACTTCTCCTGACTATGGACTCCTAAGGGCCTCTAGCTCTGCCCGTCCCCCGAGTGACGGAGCGGAGCCTGCAGGAGGTGGGGAAAAACAGGCAGTGGCGACCTCTCCGCGTCGAAGCCTCAAGTCGGGCTGGTGCCGCGTGGCGGTGAGGGGGCCAAGTGGGCAGGGGAGGGGAGGGGACTGTATCTGAGGTGCTGTAGTGGCGCTGGAGGGGACCAGGCAACCGCCGAATTGTACCACAGGGTGGTTCTGAGGCGGATAGAGCTCCTCGGCACTTCGGCTGGTGCTGAACGGGGTCTGGGAGTAGTGGTGCTTGACCTGACAGAGGACTGGCAGCTCGCCCCTTCGCCAGGGCTTGATGGCACAGCTGGACGAGGGTCTCTGCAGCAGCCTCGGGGAGCAGGTGTAGATACAGATGTGCTGGTTGGCATAGCAGAGACCTGACGGGGAACAACGTGGCAGAACTTGAGTGTGGGTATCAAGGGAAGCCACTGCAAGGCAGTCTTACTTGTGCATCCTAGTTGGTGTGTGTGTGTGGTCCAGAATGTGGTTGTGGGAAAGGTTATGTTTGTGTGATTCTAGAAGTTTGTGGGCTGATTTTTTCCACTTCAGAATATTCAAGATAACATGAACATATAAAATGCACCATAATAATCCTACATGTTGCAGTATTGCGACATGATGCTCAAATAGCTTAACCTAGTTTGGGTGTTGAATATGGGTTGAAGAAGTGGCACATTTCATACTACATGTCCTGCTGACAATGCCAATAGCGCTAGTTACTACCAGATGTCAACGTGGGGGTATGTGGTATGGATTGTGACACTTACTGCTACATAAGCATTGAATATGACAAGAACTGTGGTGAACAGCATCACGCAGCATGAGTGAAAAGGGACACAGCTATATTGTGCTTAGCTTAGATGTGCTTTGTATTATCTTGAGTGGTATGGCGTGGGCCTTAATGTGCTTTGGCACTGATTGTGGCAGTAAGTAGAATACTGTAATTTGGTGTGAGCTTATTAGCTTTATGAGGTGCACTTTATGTGGTGCAGAATTGTATCTATTAAATACAATTCTGCTTCTAGTATATACTGTTAATGTAATACTGATCAAGCATTCTGTGAACTTACAAGAAAAGTTTGAAACCCTGAACCTTTTGTTGTTGGACTGTTTTTTGTCCACTTGCCTCCCACTTAAAACACTATGCTCCATCAGTTTATATTGAATGCACTTTTATATTGAATGCCACTTTTCCATGTGCTTTTTAATCACTTCTTCTTGTTGATATAGTTGCATTACTGTATTCCCCTGTAACATAGATAGAAATGGCCTCACCAAAATGATTGATTTTCCACTCTGTGTTTTTGTGAAGATCTGACCATCTAATAACATGATCATGTGTATATTTTGGCCTTCAACTTTGAGAACTTGTGCCCAAATTCCAAAAGTAATGTGAATTGACAGGGTATATTTTGTGCAAGACCCATTCATAACTTTGTTTTTACAAGGGGACAGGAGTAATTTATTCTAGATTTTACAATGTCAGTGTTAGCTGTTCTATCATGAGGTAGGTGCAATGGCATTTTTGAACTTCTGTAATATAAAAACTATCATAATTATTTTGCTTTTGATATATGCCAAGGAAGGCTGTAATATAAATAACATTCTTTTAGATTGAGTGGAAGTGGAATGTGTTGACTGTATAGTGTTCTATAATTTTGGCATGCAGTTTGTAATAGTTACAAAATATGTTCCACATATAGCTTAGCCAAGCATTTTCAATCTTCTGAAAAGCAGATTCTGTATGAGATGAAACCAGATGACTAGAGATAAATGCAGCAAATCAGTAAACTGAAGAATTCCATTGGATTTTTAGTTATAAATTTGTAATTACATAACTCTAAGGAACAAACCTTAATTGTTGGTCATGACAGTTTCTTAAAATTCAGTCTACTGCGGCACAGAAAACTGAGGAAAGGGTTTGCAGAACAATGATGAACTTGTATGGAGCCCAGGACTTAACATCTGGCCTTTGATTCCCCTCGCCCTTTGATTTCATGCCTCCCCATTTTGCTCCCTGTCATTGCTTTTAGGGCTGCATGCTTCTTGAGTTATAGTTAGGTATTTCAAGATCAGATTCCTTTCTGCCAAAGCCCTTTGAGTATAGTTTTAAAAACTGTTCTGAAGCCAATTATAGTGGTAAAAGGGAATAAACAAAGCTCTTAGCTAAAATTGTTCTTAAACTTTGATGTATTTTGAAAATAATATCTAGGAAAATATTGGGATGGGAGGAGTCTCCCCCCCCCCCAAGGCAGCATGTACTTTATTTAGGTGGTCACTTTATAAAGAGCACGCTGTTTTTGTATGGGATATCAGAATGCCAGACTCTGTTGTGATGTAGCCCACTTTGGTGTGTTGCCTGTTTTTAGATCTTCTTTGATACCAGTCTGCAGAGTGTTCACTCAGAGTTATCATTGTTTTGCAGTGCAAACTTTGGGTGAGCAGACAACGCATCAGCTTGTGCCCTGGGAGCAGCAGCATGAACACTTGAGCATGAGATGTAGTGTGGTGATCATGTTAATAACCCCAGAGGGATATAATTTACAGGAAGCAAAAGGAGATGGGGAGAATTAGCTAGCATATTTCACCTGCTGCACACCGTACTCTTTAAAACTATTCAATAATTATTGTTGGACTGGGATCACCCTTTTAGCCTTTGCCCTCACCATGTGGTTGCAGTCCTAATAAAAGCTATAGCACATGCGATGAAGAAATAAGATAGCCTGTAGTACTGCAAGGCAGCATCTCCAGCAACTGTTGTTCGTAGTGTACAATCCTGCAGTAACTCCATATGTTCCATCTCTTGTAAGAGAGTTGTTTCCATGGCTTCCCCAGATTTTTCTGCATCTGCCTTATCTGCGGAAGGTACTCATTGGTCCAGACGTGTCTGCCCATCCTGTTGTAGTCTGAACCTATAAGCTTTTAGGAAACAATATAAACCTTAGGTGTTCTTTTAAAGGCAAGCATTATGGCTATTATGTGTCTTTAACAGACCACATTATCTTATGCAACTTTTTGGTAACATTATATTAAATATTTAGAGTAGTCAGGAGTATCTCTGGTTTTGAACTATTTTGTTGTGTATACTGAAATCAGATGTAGAAACTTCAGGATGGTTCAGTCTCAAGCTGTGGACTTCAAAATCAGAATATGAAACCTCTTACACATGAAAAGGTATAGCCCTGGTGACATAAGTGCTATTTCACATGTATAAATGTATGCATGTGTGTGTGTATGTGTACATTTTTACAAATTATTATTATGGCACCATCTACATACATAGCATTTTACAAAATATACAGGACAGTTCTGGGCTTACAATAGAAAAACCATTCACAAGAGTCAACAAAGGAAGGGGATTAAAGTGAAAGAATGGTATTTATTTATGGAATTTAAACTGCAATTTATTTTTAGGCTACAGTACAATACCCATAATTTTTTAATCTATCACATGGACTGGAACAATGGTGAAGTTAGGTATTTTTAGGCTGTAGGGTTATGAAGGGATTCCTCTTTAGGTGGCAATATGTAAAATTTCATTTACCGTATTTTTCGCTCTATAAGATGCACCTAGTTTCTAGAGGAGGAAAACAAGAAAAAAATATTCTGAATCAAATGGTTTACTAAACTATTTAATAAACTATAACAGAATACAGTAATACCATATTTCAACCTTGTATAGTGAACAGCAGTCAACAGTGGCATTAAGAACCATCATCACTGTCATTAACAAAAGAGAGACTTTAAAGTTCGAGTACTCTTCTAGTTTTCATTGAACCCATAGAACTCATCATCACTAGAGTCAGAATTGATGAAGCTCTGTTGTTCACAATCACTGACATCACTTTCTTAGTCAGTAGTGGAATTATTGAAGGAATCCACAATCTACACCAGTTATACAAGAGCTGCTGCAGACAATTTAATAACAAATCTAAAAAAGCCAGTAATGTCCACACTGCCCTACTAGTAAATAATAGAAAAAAACTTCTGACAAAAAATGAGATATTGTACGGTAAATCAAACACACAGCGGACTAAGTAGCCTTTGAAGAATAAACTTAATACACGAAGGTAATGCTGTTCAAATATCCACTGATCCTAAAAAAAATGTGTCTGATCAACTAACAGATAAGTGTTCCATGGAAAAGTTCCTGATAATCACAGGCACATTCCCCATCACTTCCCCATGGGCTTCATTAAAAGACGGGTTGCCATTTGAAAACACACACCGACCTGCGATTAACAGCTCTCACCTGCGCCAGAGGAGGGGGGCGGAGCAGGGCGCGCCGAGCGCGTGCCGGCCACGTGGTGCCACGTGGGGCCGGCAGTGTGCTGGCGGTGGTCTTCTGGGCAGCACAGCGGCGGCGGCAGGTCTTCCTGGGCGGTGGGGGTGAGCAGTCCGTCTCTCCATGCGGCCGGCGGGTTAAAGCCTGCGGCTCCTCCTCCGCACCTCTCCCCCTGAGCGGCACAGCTCTCACCTGCGCCGGAGGGGGGTGGAGCAGAGTGCGCTGAGCACGTGCCGGCCAGGTGGTGCCACGTGGTGCAGGCGGGCCAGCAGCATCCCGGGAGTCGGGCGCACACCCATTCGCTCTATAAGTGTGTCTTATAGAGCGAAAAATACGGTACTTTAGAATGTATTAAGTCAATTCTCTTGTTTTGGGGACTCCTGCATTTGCCCGGTGTTTTCTGGTTTAAACAACAAATGGTGGAAATGGCACTTCAGAAAAGAATTTGTGTGTGGAACTGGGTGGAGGGACACATCTCTGGACTGTCAGCAGGGAAGTAGAGAACTAGGGAGGCAGTGAATTTCTACCTCTGCACTCCAGGTAAACATTGAGATGCATACTTGTAGCTTAAAATATTATTGAACAGCATGTCGCTGACTTGCACACCTGCTAACTCTTTGGGGTACCACAGGATTGTTTTTGCTTTCACAGAATGATAGAATAGCCTCCATACAATAAGTGGAATTGAGAGCTGGTAAGATCCTTGGTTCAAATCTCACCTCAGCCACAAAAACATTACATAGCCCTAGGGAAGTTCGTGGGTGGTCAGACTCAAAGACAAACAGGCATTATTCTGA